AGTTCTTGGTCAACTGAAAGTCGAACTTCATAGAGAATTTCAATCTTTGCTCGTTGATCTAGACAAAGAAGAGAACGTACGACAGGCACATCAATGGTATGAAGAAAAGCGTCATAGAATTGAGATATTTATTTCTGGAATGAATGACTGGACAGTGATGGCCAAAGAGAAGATCGAACAACAGCTCGACAAGTCCCCCTCTGATAACTTGAGCGTTACATCCAAACAGTCCTCAATCAGAGCCATTGAAAGAGCAAGAGTAGCAGAACTATTAACCCAGTCAGCCTTGCTGGAAAGGAGACAAGCAAGAAAAGATAGAGAAGCTTGACATCGAAGAAAAGATGACTGTGAACAAGCATTGATCGAGGCAGAAGAGGTTAGAGATTCCCAGTTACACCTAAAGGCAGTCGGAACACCAGTAAGTTCACACGATCTTGATGACTGCAAGCAATATGAGGACAAACCCTTGAACGAAAGAGAGAAGTTCCTCGCCGTGAAACAGATCTGTTACGGCTGCTACAAACCAGGTCATAGATCACGTGGCTATATACAAAAAAGAAAATGTACTATCTGCGAAGGACGACATCCAACTGGTCTCCACGATTATAACTTCACAGCGACACAAAGATCTGACTCGTCACGTRRAAAGGAAGGCAGCAAACCTGACTTAAACAACATTATGATAATAATCACGTTTTCAACTCAAGAATTATTGCTTCTGAAGGATGCACAGTACTACCACACAGCAAACTCAATCCTTACCCGTTGTTCCTGTCAAGCTACAATGGAGGAACAACCAGGAACAATCCTGTTACGAACGATGAATGCCGGTCAAGCATTGCAAGACACCTAAGCTGTTCCAGGTCTCAAGATCTCTGATCTAAAGGGTGAAAATAGCATAGAGCTACCAAGAACGTTCACAAGAGAAAATATCCCATCGTCTGACAATGACATACCTCAACGAGAAATGGCTAAAAAATGGCAACATCGGCAACCACGTGGACAAGAATAAACTACTCAAGAATCAGAAGATGCACGAGGACTATGTTAAATTCATGAATGATCTACTGGACAAAGACTATGACAGAAGTGTACCATCATCGCAAGCTCTACCTGAATCAGGAAAGGTTTGGTATTTACCGCATCATGGAGTATACCATCCCCACTTGCAAAAGATACGCGTAGTCTTTGATTGCAGTGCAAGATACGGCGAAACATCTCTTAATAGTAAACTGTTGCAAGGTCCAAATTTGACACGTTCCTTAGTAGGAGTACTGACAAGATTTCGCGAAGAGCCAGTAGCCTTTCAAGCTGATATAGAGGCTATGTTCCATCAAGTGCGTGTATCAGAAAAAACCCGGAATTTTCTGAGATTCCTCTGGTGGCCCAACGGAGATCTATCGCAAAGTTTGCACGAGTACCAGATGAATGTTCATTTGTTTGGCGCAATTTTCTCACCAAGCTGTGCCAATTATGCGGTTCGAAAGACAGCTGATGATACAGAGAGCGAAGTTGGAAAGGAAACGGCAGATCTCTTGAGAAAGAACTTCTACGTAGATGATTGCTTACGCTCAGAGGAGACAGAAGAAAAAGCAATTGAACGCTTAGACAGCACCATGGCAGCATGTTCGAAAGGTGGCTTTCAACTTACAAAGATAACGAGTAATGGCAGAAGATTATTGGAAAGCATTTCCGAAGACGATCGTTCCAAAGAAGTGAAAGTTATCAACCTTAGCTTTGACGTCTTACCAGTTGAACGTGCACTTGGAGTCCAATGACATATCGAGTCTGACACATTTAGTTTCCAAATCACTCTTAAAGACAAGCCCCTGACGAGAAGAGGAATATTACTGACGATAAGCTCAGTGTACGACCCACTTGGTTTCGCAGCTTCAGTTCTACTACCTGGGAAAGTAATTTTGCAGGAACTTTGCAAAACTAATGCTAGTTACCGAAGAATATGTGCATGTTTGGGAAGGATGGAGAAACCAATTGCCTTTGCTTGAAAAGTTCAGCGTAGCAAGATGCGTCAAGCCTGAAAACTTCAGAACAGTCATCGATCGACAGATTCATAACTTTTCTGACGCCAGCTGCACAGGTTATGGACAAGTCTCCTACTTACGACAAGTCAATTCAAGAGGAGAAGTCCATTGTGCGTTTCTAAAAGCTCCCATCAAGTCTATAACTGTCCCAAGAATGGAGCTAACGGCTGCTGTCGTCTCCTGCAAGATCGGAAACAAGCTCGTTGGAGGATTTGATTATTATGTACAAAACCCAACATACTGGACCTACAGTACCACAGTTCTAAGATATATCCACAATGAACATGCACGATATCAAGTGTACGTTGCAAATAGAGTCCAGACGATAATAGATAAAACCGAACAAGAACAATGGAGGTACGTGCATCCCGTGGTCAAGATTTCGACCAACTTAATGATCAACACCGTTGGATAAAAGGCCCGGGTTTCTTGTGGAAGCCAGAGTCAGAATGGCCAGAGTGCTTCGTCAAAAACAATAACAATAAGAACGAGTCAATAGTGAACGCGACAACAACACAAGAGCACCACAACACAAGAGCACCACAACACAAGAGCACCACAACACAAGAGCACCACAACACCAGAACCCTGGAGCGATTCCACTATTTCTCACAATGGCAACGTCTAAAAAAGAGTCTTTTCATGGATACTTCGCCTCAATCCCGATCAAGCTGCAGTTCCAACGAGTAAGAAACAGAATGCAAGATCCGAACCTAGACCAATCACAGTTGAAGAAATGAACAGAGCAGAAAGAGTTATTCTGAAAATAGTACAGCAAGTCCACTTGCCATTAGAGATTGCCACTGTGAAGTCAATCAACCAAGAACAATTCAAGGATATCCGATCAAAGTTCAAGAGAAAAAAGACATAGCTGAAAAAGTCAAGTTCATTGTACAAACTAGACCCAATTATAGATGAAGATAGGTTAATTCGTGTTGGCGTAAGGTTAAGCAACTCAGATCAGTTTGCTGAAGATTTCACGCATTCTGTGATTCTCCCAAAGAAAGATCACGTTACCACTCTCATCATACGCTGCGCGCATGACAAACTGGCTGAG